CAGTCTGTGATTTACACTTTAGGAAAATGACACAATTGACAGCTATGAGAAAAGCGCAGACCAAAATTACCAAAGTTTTTGGACGATCCAAAAACCATAACTCGACATGGTGCATACGACAGGATAAAAAATAATAATGAAAGAAAAAGAGTGCAGACAGCTTCAGGAGAGCAACAGCAGTAGAACGACCAAGATGGCCAAGTCGTCGAAGTGTCTCTATTTACCATTCAAGAACGCTTGTGCAGTTCTGATATAGGCGATTTAAGCATTCCGAGAGGGTACCGTGACATAAGTTCGGCGCCCAGCTTCCTCCTACAGGAATGTGAATTTTTTCAACTAGGGCTCAAGGTGAGGCAAACTAAGACAACGAAGGTCATTTATTCGGCTACTAGCGAAGATACTTTCAACACTTTTCTGCTACTGCAGCCGGGTGTGTTCAAACGCTGGTGTGGTAAGAGTTGACATTCACTACCAAAGGTAAGTAGAAAAAACAAAATAGGGTACAACAGAACAGATTGAACGCGGACCTTTTTCATTCAATTTTTCTTATAGGCGGAATGGAGAAAAAATAAAGCAAATGGAAAACACAAAATGTGGAGCATTCCGGTGCATCAAACTAATTCCGATGCACGAAGATGGGATTTAATAATAGAGAGCGATAAGCAAACACGAATGAATTATCGTCTTAATTGAAGTCATGCGTAATCTACATCGGTTCACAGGAGGAAAGTCTGACTGAGCTAGAGAACCGGAGACCTGAACAGAGAAAAATACCCAATAAATTCTTATACCCACATATTTCGGCTTTCAGAGATGAATAACGGTCAATATATACAAACATAGTAAAGAAAATGGTAATTCAGTTATTTCCTTAGAACGAGGAATAGACATGGTCAGCAGATGAGTAGCAGGTGTTAAGAACAAATCCGGCCCACCAGACTAATAGTGCTACACAACGGCGAGAAATGAGGGGCAGGAGGACCACGAATGAATTAACCAGCAAATGTCCATCTGTAACTGGTTAAATGCGACTGTTGGAACCAACGAGGAGACCCAAAAACGGCGGTCCACGCCAGAAAAAGGTGACATAGTCCTGAGTCTTGAAAGATGCGGTGACCGTAACAAAGATTTTATTAATCCTACGTACTAAATTCACACCCGAATCCATTATCAGAAGCAGCATTGGGTAAGAGTAATGGATGCAGAAAGGTAAGAACAGGAGATACCGCATGTGGCTGAATTTACTTTGATAAGTGCCTTGTTGTTCAAGTCGTTAACCTCCGCAATGTTATCATTCAACTAAGAACTTTTACTGATTATGGTTTAAGATGGGTTAAGATGAATCCAAAATCTCCGAAAAAAATACTTATTTCGGTGATTTCACCCCGTTTTTAACTGCTTCCTGGAAATTGAATTTTGGCGTCCATCGGCTATTAATTGCAAGTGTAAAACTTGCTAGCACACCATACTCCCAAGGAAGATATAGCGAGCTGAAGAAGTCGGATACTGTTCCTAAACCTCCGATGCACTGAAGTTCGACAACGCAGAATTACGCCTGCATATTTCACTAATTAATAGGTAAACGTATGAAACTGCGTTATTCGTACGTGAGTGTCGTTAAAACTTACTTCAATCGTACAATGCGTCTTCGACTGACCAGTAAAATAAGGTGTAGTTAAATGTTTAGTGTTGTTGTCATTCACAATTACCCACACCTCGTTCAAGTCGAGAAATGATTTACAAAGAATAAGGGGGCTTAATTTTCTACCATCCTGTGACGTTCGTCTATCGCGAACCAAGGTTATACTGAACCCATGCATGACTGAACGAATTGGTAACAGTTCTTTCATATGAAAGTTAAGGACGCCATGCAGAATTAATTGTTTGTGATGCACTAATAAGGCGAATGTGGG